TGCTCTGGGGGCCCCGGAAAACTCTCGTGGAGCCCGGGCCCCCAGAGCTTCTTCCGCTCCGGGTCTTTGGCAGCAATTCTACGGCGGGGGGTCCTTCCGTCCCGGGACCCACTGCCGAAGTGCCGGGTCTTCGGCGGCAATTCGGCGGCGGAGGCCTCCCGCCGCCAAAGACCCCAGGCCCCCTGAATCCTCTGGGCGGCCCTGCCCTACTCATTGCGTACTCCCTTTTGACCTCCAACGAGAACTTTGTGGCGTAAGATACTACGTAACATGAATAAGGCTGGGACACCAAGACCCTAAGTAATATGTGGACAATGTTTTGTGTGAAATATATATGATAAAGCATAGAGATCCTGTTATACTTGTATAATTATTAGTTCAGAATGGTGCACAGTGCCACTACGTGGCAGGCTTTGTTATAGTAAATACTGGCAAGTGTAAGCGGCTGATCAACTAGAAGGCTGATGTGAGGGAGCCACTCCTGCAAAGACTTGTACCCTCAGTTGCTCATGAGCCTACGTCTACATTACAAAAAAACCCCAAACCCATGGTACAAGTCTTAGAGTGTGAGTCACCTGATTCAGGCTCACAGGACTCATGCTGCGAGGCTAAAAATAGCAGTGCAGAAGTTCCTGCTAAGGAGACCCTCCCCCTCCCTGAGACTCACAGCCTAGGCTCCAGCCTTAGCAAGAACTTCTACACTGCTATTTTCAGTCCTGTAGTGCAAGCCCTGTGAGCTCAAGTCAGTTGACCCAGGCTCCAAGACTTGCTACAGTGGGATTTTTTTTTTTGCAGTGTAGAGGTGTGACTACTCTGATAGGTAGTTACTCATATCTTTATGTCTTTGCAAGACTGGTCTTTGTGTCTACTGTGTGTCTCTTATCTCATAAATAAGACTGATTGGGTGTTAATAAAAAGTCTGAAAAGTCATGGCACAGAATATTTTGCTTCCTCGTAAACTTATTTTCTACTGGAAAAAGCATTTATAGCCATCACTTATCATTTAAAAATACATTAAGACTTCAAAAACACACACAAAATACACATCAAAAAGAGCTGTTAAACTTGAAAGAAGAGACTTGTAAAACAACTATTTAAAAAAAATTAGAATCCCCTAAAGGTCATGATCTTTGCCATGGAAAACAGAAGTGACAAACATACAGACTTATTCTTAATACAGTTAATTTCATGCTTGACTAAACTGTACTCTGATTACAGCTAGATTCCGTCTGTAACCCAACTTGTAAAGCAGTTGAGTACAATTAACATTTCTTTGTGCCTTGAAATATACATGCTGAGGTTCAAAGCGAGGCATTGGCAGCACAGAAAGTAAAAGTGTTTAGATGAAGCCGGTAGGAGCCCAAGAAATATGCTACTGGACAGTCTTCTTTCACCCTCCACTATAAATACTGATGAACCCCCGCATCCTTGTGAAGCTCTGTATAGGATCACTGTCATAGTTTGAATCCATATTACACAATTTAGAAGATTGTGTCTGAGCCACTGTTAGAGTTGTATTCTCAAGTATTGTTCTTCTAAGAAACTCATCTTACTTTATGTCTGTCATTGGTAAAACAAGTTTAAGTTTTTTTACTGGTAGACGCAAGACAGCATTTCTTAACTGCTGCATTATGTAATTACTGAACCATATGTTATTACACTGCATCATACATATTTCTCTCAGCATTTTTGTTTAACTGCTTTCAGGAAAAGAGTGCTCTTTCGAATCATACTCTTTCAATGCTGCTTTCTGAAGAAATGAAACTAGCAGCAGAAAAACAGCTTGTTTTGGCCTCCTTAAAAACTTTGCCCAAAAGGTAAGCAGGACTCAAGATTTTCAAAATACTGGTGATAATTCCAAAACCACATAGAAAATAGTACCCAAAACGCAATGATTAATAAAGGTGACAGAATACATTGTAGGAAACAGCACACAAAACTGCAGATCTTTGTGGTCATGTCAGGTGGCTTTTAGCACACTAACACCTTGATGGAGCTCAACTTTGTCCATTAGTTCTAAATAATTACCTCATAGGTTCCCTCGCAAAGCTGTGCTGCTCGTCCTCCCGTGTTGGAAGGAGCAATTCCACGAACTGGCATGCAGAAGATATGTCTGGCCCATGCAAAGTCTTCCATTTAACTGACACCACTTGGGCGTAATCTTGGGGAGGGAACTGAAATTTGAGGTTGGGTAGAAATTTGGTGTTCTGCATGAGGGTGTGACCAGAAATACTAGTTTCCCACTCTAGATTCTTGGGCCCAGATTGGCCTGAAGAGATTTTAGAGATTCTTAGAGATTTGGGGGCCCAGATCAGCTGATCTGGTCTTAAGCCACCACCCTGAAGTTCAAAGATACGGAGAACAAGAAACTAGAGAGGCTCTCCCATAATGAGCATACCACCCTCAACATGTTGCTGGTCCAGCCATAAAATGGGAACCTTGTAGAGCCATTTCATGCTAAGCCTGGATAGGGGGCTAATGACAAAACTTTGAAGTCTAGAGTTGTACTTTTCATTGGCTAAACCTACTTAGGGAGAAGATCCTGAAAATTCATTTTCTTTTGTGGACTTACAAAGAAGAAATTAATTTGTTCTTTACATGTATTGAGATTGTAAATTAAAATCTTTTCACCACAGAGCAAACGAGGGCACTGAGGAATATTTTTCCTATCACCAGTGCTGCTAAGACATAGCGTAAAAATAAACACAAAAAAAGAGTGCAAATGGCTGACCTGTAGGTGTTTGGAACTCCGTGATCTCAATAGGCAGTAGGCGATTAAGGTTCATTTTCTCACAGAAGTGGTGGCCTTCAGGAGGCACAGAATAGAATAGAATAAAAAGTTGCTGTAAATGTATTTACAAAACACAGCACTGCATGTCTATTCAGTGTAACTGAAGTTTAGACAGGTATTTTCATACCCTAATGTTTTATTTCTGCATTAAAGTAAAAAGGAAAGAATCTTTAAAGGATATACTGCCTGAGTTTTTGCTTTTCCTTCTGTAGAAAGAATGTGACTGGAAGCAGATCCGACCCTGTGTTACCTTACAAACACTGTCAGCGTGTCTACCAAAAACACAGCAGTTTTGCATATCCACTTGAGCCATACCTGGTTTTGATATCATCCAGGATTCCTGCATATGAGGTATGAATTTCTTCTAAGTTCTCTCTTTTTTGAATCGTTTGGGTTCTGTGTACCCAAACTACATCCGGGGGATGTTCCTGAGACAGCAATCTGTTCATCCTTCCCTGCAAAGAAAGCATCCTTCCTGGATCTACTATAGCCTCAATCCTGCAAATACTTATACATGTGCTTAATTTTGCTCATGAGTAGTCGCATTAAGTGTTTACAGGATTAGGGTCTCAGCGAAAGCGCACCGTAAAGTGAAGAAAAACAAAGGAAAGCATAAGATTAAAATGACAGTAAAGTAATATTATGGGCCTAAATCAGTGTTTCTCAATAGGGGGGCGTGGAGGAATGTTCAGGGTGTGTGCAGCGGGGCCAGAGCTAGCCCCCACATGGGGTGGGGAGAGAGCATGACACTTCCAGCCCCACTCCACCCCCAGACCAGCTCTGCTTCCAATACCATTCAGCCCCCAATCCTGCTCTGCCCTCACTCCCTCTCTGCCTGCAGACCAGCTCTGCCCCTAGCCCCAGCTCCTCATCTGTCCCCATTCTGCCACTAGCTCTGCCTTCAGCCCAAGCTCTGTGCAGAAGCAGCATTGACTGTCCAGTAATGGGGGAAGGGGCACGGACAGATTCCATTACTGGTAAGGGGCGGGGGGGGGGGGTCCACTGGAAAAGTTTGAGCACCACAGGCGTAGATGAATCTCTAATGCAGAAGTTTAGAGTTTAATATGAAACTGTATAAAAAAATGCTGTCTGTGCGCATGTTTGGGGAGCTGCACATTTTTAATACACTGGTACTATGTCATTTGAAGTAAAAAAACCCCAAATCATATGGTTTAAGTACTAATTTGTGTAAGACGTTCAGTGTTATAGCTAATCAAAGAAAAGTCCAGGATGTACACTTCAAAAACAGCCTATCCTGTATATTTATTTAAAAAGTTGAATACAATCTGAGTTTCAGTAAAGCATCAGTGGGAAATAAGTAGGAAGCTAAGCTGACCACCCAAGCAGTGTTTTGTTGTTTCATGGTAAAGGTTATGGCCCTGATCCTAAAAAAATCACTGTGTGGATGCACAGCTGCATCTGTATAGGACACAATTAACTTCATTGGGGGTTCACGAGGAGTGCCAGGCTGCTCACGAACAACGAATTGCAGGGGTGGCCTAGCTGATAAAGGTTGTTAGAGAGATCATCTCATATCCATTGGCATTATGGGGCTATAGGACAAAGCTGAATAAAGAATTTCTAGGTGTAATTAATTACTGTGTAAAATAATAATATAATGTGATGCATTCTACAAATGAATATTGAATTAAGAATTATATTTTTTCTCATGGAATTACATTTTGAGAAAAGCAGGATTTATTTATTGAAGGTATGAACTGATTTATTTCTGTAGATGGTGCTGGACAGCATCAAACCTGGGGTGATTCCGGTGTTGTATGAACATTGCGGACTGACATTGGAAAGCCTCCTTTTTTACATAGAAAAGGCTCTGGATGGCCGAAAAGCAAAGAGTATAGGGATTTTTAGCGATGGAAACTCCAGAGAGATCAATTTACTTCAAGGTAGGGGCAGAGAAAAACAGAGAAACTAACTGGGAACATGTCAATGTCATATCATGTTTAGGTATTTCAAAAGGGGAAACAGCATGAAAATAAAAAGTTAATCAAGCTAGCAAATTGGTCACTGATCCAACTGTAATTTGTTTCTGGCAGGTAGACCTCTGCACCTTCCATTGTAATCAATAGGACTCACCACAGGAGCGGGGGCTGCCTGGATGTAAAAGCTTGTAGGATCAAGGGCTTGGTAATTAGTTAAAAGCCAGAGAAAATATGACAAAAAGAGATGATAGAGCCATCTCTGCTGTCATAAAAAAGGAGATTGGACACATGATGCTAGTCCAAAGTAGCTAAAGGTCTGACCATGAGGTTAAATAAGGGATAAAAGGAAGACGAGAAAGAGAGAAACAAGCCGACACAGAGGCGCAAAGAAAAAAGTAATAGCCAGAAGAGAGAGAATACACGGTACAGAGAAAATAAATTGAGAAGGGGGAACAGAGAGAGAGAGAGAGAGAGAGAGAAAAGTTACTAAAGAAATGGAGGACAAGAAATCGCTCAGTTTTGAAAGTTAGCACATTGCCCTTAAAAAAGAGATTTGAGGGAAGTCTGTGTTAAGTCCTGGGAAGGGAAGTAATGATATGAGTACAGGAGGGAAGAATTTTGAGCAGAATGAAAACCCTCATGGAAATTTTATTTCTTTCATTGACTTTTATTTAAATGTTTTTCAGGCTGCAGAATCAGTATTGAGAACATTCTGAGTCCTGAAGTGAGAGAATTTTGGGAGAAGCTAGGTTGTGTAATGTCTCCAGAGGAAGGTGGTTATGTGGACATCTTTGTTCCTCTGGCAGCATCAGGTCAGTTTTGTTTGGACTTCTGTCATAATGGAGAATCACCCACTCCATTGGATCCTGTCCCTGAGTAGGGCTTGTTGAAATTGAGGTTGGCAGAAAATTGGGTTCTTTCTGTGGAGAATTTTGACTTTTGTTGAAAAAAATCTGAACACCGGAATAATTTTGCGGGAGTTGTAGTTTGGGTGCCTCTTGTCCCCATTCTCCTCTGTGGGCCAAGCCTGAGCTAGACAACATCTCTCATGATCCACCACAGGTATGGGGCTTCTGTTATGCACGGAGGGATGACTGATGCATCATGGGACATATAGTCCAGCCAAAAAGCCTGGCACACAGAGGTGAAGGGGGACATAGGACATCCAAAGCTCGCATTAGACATAGTGGTGGCTGAGGAGGACACAATTTAACATCAAACCAAGCTAAAACATTACTTTTCAAATTGGTTCCACAAATCACATTTTTCAGAATAGAAATTTTTGACTTTGTCTGAAAGTTTTTGCTCTTTGCAGAAAAGTCAAAATTTTCCCTGGGGGAGTGGAAGGGGAGGGGAGAAGAAACACTTTCAACCAGCTCTATTTGGGGCAAGGAGAGTCTTTTTGTTCTGTGTTTGTACAGTACCTAGCACAATGGGATCCTGCTCCATGACTAGAACTCATAGGTGCTATGATAATACAAATGATGAGTGTACAGAGTCCATTAGAAAGCAGAATAGTTTCACACAGCTGCTGAGCTTAGTAAAGAGGCAGATATATTCTATTCATCTCATGCTCTTCAATTACCTCAGTCTGTTTGGGAAATATTAAAGGTTGATCTTGCAAGGTGCTGAGAAAGTCCAAAGACTTCTGAGCACCCACATCTGCCATTTGTTCAGCCTTGCAGGGTCGTCCCGTTAGCTGGCATCAAGCAGGTCATCACAAGAACTAAAGAATAGTATCCACTCTTATTTTGTTATTTTTCTTGTCTTGGAAGGAATAAGATGCACCTCAAAACTGGTGCATCTTTAATTCATTCTATTCTTCTCAGGGACCGCACAAACTCACAATGTGTGTCTCTTCATTGACATTAGAATGAAACTGGAGTTATTTTTTTCATTAGGGATCTCACGCCAAAAACAACTTTTCTAGTTTTTTGTCCATGTTAGTGGATGTGATTGTTCCTGCACAGTGTCATTTTGTTAAGATACACAGGACATCTTTCATGCTGTTGGTAAATATAGCAGAGTTTTCAGAATAATATGATAAAAACCATAAAAAGTACTGTTGATTCACAAAGACACAACATTTTCATCTAGCCTTGAAAAAAAGTTTAGATTCCTTTTAGTTTCAGATTAATAATAGTAGTATGGAGAAAAAGAATTGGCTAGTGGCCTGTAGTGGCTGTGATATTTTAGTGATGTAAATAATACAGAATTTTATGAACTAGAAAAAATAATGCATCTTTTCAGAGGCAGGGATGGAAGTCCTTTCCCAGCTGACTCAGCTAACTGGTGTGCTCTTCAGAACCCCCACAGGAATTGCAACTGGATCTTATCAGCACAGTAAGTACAGAAAGTTATTACACACATTTATAAAGAGAGATATGTGGCACAACTGAGTCAGCATTTCCCAAGAGAAAAATGGTTTGTTTACAACTTAAAAATATAGAGACTTATTTTGCCCATAAGCAATGTAAGAATTATTTGATAAAAGCAAGAGAAAATTATTCTAAACCTGCTTTTGGAAAATGAGGGGTAGAAGTAGGTGTATAGAGGAAGGATGTTGGTATATGACCAATTTTAGATGGCTAGCATGGTTTACTAAAGGCCCAGTGATATACAATAAAATCAGATCACAGATTTACATGATAGTGGTCTTCAAATACTCGAAAGGCTGCCATAAAAAGATGGAGAAAAGGTGTTTTCTCTTGCCACTGAGGTTCAAGATGCAATGGGTTCAAAACTACAGAATAGCGATTTAGATTAAATCTCAGGAAAAACTTCCTAACTGTAAGACCAATAGGACAATGGAACAGACTACCTAGAGAGGTTGTGGAACCTCCTT